TGTCATCTTGTAGGCTTTTACAACCACTGCTGCTCTCGCAGCCCCAGCCCAGCCTGGGGGGCAGTGCAGAGTGCCCTGCTTTTCACTGTTTTTAGCGTTCCCTCTGCAGTTTGTGGTAACAGATGCCCCGCAAAGATTTTGGGGATGAACATCAATGTCCAGCATCAGTGGGGTACAGGTCTTGTCCCCTGATGGCCTGGGCTGGCTGCAGCACTCCTTGTCCCCTGGACTGCCAATTCTCTTCATATCTTTAACGTTTTGGTGTCAACTTCATTTAGCAAAGCACGTATTTCTCTAAAATTTAATTCAAGTCATTTCCCCGTTTATTTCCTTCCAGTTATTAGTGTTCTCTGCTTCCAAGAAAACACTTCACGTGCATGCCATGAGGAAATACTATGTGGAAATGAGATTAAATTTAAGCAAGGTTAAATATGATCAAAATGAATTCATTTTGACAGAGCTTTATACAACACTTTTGAGTGCAGTAGGACTCTGCTGTTAGAGCTCATAATAAATTCCCAGGACCAAACAGAGCAGCCTTTCAGATTCAGTGTGTTGATGCAGTGTGCTAAGGGGGTCTGTTGATGTCCTATTATCTGCAGGCAGCTATGGGAGTTACACCTCTGCCAGCCAGCCCTTCCTTCAGGCTTGGAAATCTGTCTCCTGCAGGGATGCCCAGGCTGGCTTTGAGGAGGCACCAGCCTGTCAGATGAAGCACAGGAGCTCCGAGGAGCAGCAGGAATACCTGTGAGTACCACTGTGGCCACACCTGAGCACAGAGGGCCGGTGTGCAGCTCCCCAGCTGGGAGCCAGCCCTCCCCTCAGCACGGAATCATGGAATGCCTCGGGCTGGAAGGGGCTTCAAAGCTCCATCCAGCCCTGCCTGGCCATGGATACTGCCAGGGATGAGCCTCCCCTGAAGTGCTTTCAGCAGTCCCTGGTTCCACAGGTGGGAAAGGAAGTTTGCCTCTTAGGTGGCATCCCCAAAAGTGTGTTCTGCAGCAAGAGTGGAGGTCAGGGTTGGTTTCTTTGTAAAACAGCTTAAACCCACAGTGTCCCTGCCCATGGCTGTGGGGTGGAACTGGATGAGCTTTAAGGTCCCTCCCAACCCAAACCACTCTGTGGTTCTAGTAGAAAACATCAGTAATTAATCAATGCTGCCAATCATGTGAATATTTTTATTAAAGAGCATGCTTAGAGTTGTATAAAGTAGTTGGAAACTGTGTGGAAAATTAACTTTAGGATGGTTTCAAGATTTAGATTAGTCATTATCTCTGCCCTTGCCCAGACTTCTTCCTTCCTCTCATCTGGGTAAATCCGTTTTGTGTTGTGGTGGGATGTATTGAGTCTTTTTGTTCTTGGTTTGGCTTACATGGGAAGGATGCTGTCATTTTGGAATGAAATCTGCCCAGTGACCATCTGTCTCCCCATTAGGATGAAATAGGACATTGATTTAGGCAATGGAATGATGAAAGATTTTCTTGAAAAAACAAATGAGCACTTTGCTTTTTTAAAGCCCCTGCCACTGGCGAACTGTGGCTTCAGGCAGAACTCTGTGTACAGTGAGAGCTTCATACCCTGAGTGTCACAGATGCTTCCCCAAAAATAAACAGGGCCACCACTTTATTTATCTGACAATAAATAAAACAATTCCAAGTTTTGTTTAAGTGCCTAAATTTGCATCTTGGCTAAATCCTCATTCAGAAACTGTTGGAAGCGTGAGACATCAAGGTCAGAGGAACAATGGCTCTGTGACCCAAAAGCAAAAGCTCTCTTGCTAATAGGAAAATGAATGCTGTTGTCTTTGCAACTTAGCAATTAGTTTCTTACCAAATTTCTTCTGAAGCACAGCAGCAATGATAAGTATTCTGAAAATCCATGGATTGTCTTCACTGCTCTCACTTTTTCTCCAGACTTACAAAGTGGACTAAGCTGAAAATTTTAAATGAGGGCAGTGACATTTCCTGGCAGGATTTGCTTTGTTTATTTTATTGCTGCCACTTATGTGTGTATAGACTCAAAGCACCTTTGTGTCAGATTACTGCAATTTATGATGCAAGAAGGGATTAATGTGCTGAGTTTGGGATCAGTTGATGGGAATTGTTTAAATACAAAGGAAAACCTCCTTTGGATGAGCGTGACACTCATGAGCTGAGCAGCTTCTCCCTGTGTGTGAGAACTGGGTGAGTGAGAGGCTTTCCAGTTCTCCTGTGTGCTGTGCTTTCCCTGAAACATTCTGTGGTGTCTGAGGTTTAAAAGTGGAGCCATAATCTGGCTGGGTTACTTTCCAGACAAATCAGTCCCTCCATGTGGTTTAGAATCCCAGAATGATTCGTGTTGGAGGGGACCTTAAAGCTCATATTGTTCCAAGCCCTGCCATGGGCAGGGACACTTTCCACTGGAATGTAGCCCCCAAAAGAGGTGCCAATCATTTCTAAAAGCTGGGAATTGCTGGATTTCTGTGGCATTTGCTGTCGGTGAAGGCAGCTCAGCTTGTAGCATATGCGACCCATTTTTGATGTCTTGAAATGGTCTCATCTGCTCCAGTTTCCTTCTTTAGCATTTTTAAGGTTCCTGTGCTTGTGGACCACATGAATGAAATCATGTCTAGGAATAGATTCAGCCTTGCTCAGCATTTATTCTGGGAACAGTTTGAACTGGCCACTTTTGAAAAGCAGTGTCAGAGGCACTGTTTGGAAATAAGCACAGCATAAGGGCAATCAAGCAGTCGTTTCCACGTGGGACAGCAGCTGTGTCCTTGAGCAGTGGCTCTCCATGGGCCCACAGTGGGGCTGTGTGAGCTGAGGTGCAGTGGGATGATCCCAGTGCAGTTCAGTGGGAGGGAGCAGGCAGATGGCATTTCTGAGCCTGGCATGTGTCATCCTGGCACCCACCCCCGGCTGTGCCCGTCCCTCAGCAGTGTGGGATGGAGGGCTCAGGCTGCTGCTGCCACTTCCCACCTGTGTCTCCTCTGGGCTTCCCCACTCCTGCAGCCTGCAGCCTGGCAAGCAGCTGGGCCCGGGCCACAGAACATTTTATTTTAGCCCGTGTGTGCTGTGAGAAGAGTTGACCATCCCTGTGCTGACTGCTCCTACAGTGCTCATACCCAAAGTAAGAAGGATGAGCTAAAACTGAAGGGCCACGTGAGGCTTGTTTGGCTGAGGGAATAGAAGGGGGTGTTACTGACTGCTTCATCTCCTGGAACAGCTGGGGATTCGTGCATCCACAGAAAATTTGTGTTATCCAGCTGACCAATCATGGCTCAACCTGAGCCTGGTTAGAAAACATTCTACCAATTATTTTTCCTAATTTTAAATACCTTAGGAAATGGGAAAGACAGAAGCCATGAACAGAATGAATGCACCAAGGCAGTATCCTGTACCCTTCAGGAATGCTGGATCCAGCAACACACAGATGGATGAATCCCAGGAATAAAGCATTTCTAGTGTGCTCCCACACAGAATTCTTGTGGAAAGAAATGTCCAAATCCAGATTCTCCTTTGCAGAGCAGAGCATCTCCTACTCACAGCGCTTCAGGCTGTTTCCAAGAACAGCTGCTGAGCAGAGCAGGCATTTGGCTGTTCCTGCATCATCCTAGGACTGGTTTTATTTAGGTGTTCTGCAGCCTGGGCCCACCCAGCTGCTCCCTGAGCCTCAGATTTGGTTCTTCAGTTTCTGCATCTTACAAGAAAAATGTATTGTTGAATTTAGCATTAATTTTGTCCATTTGGTTATGTTATTCTCAGTTTAAGCTGTTTACACTCCTGTTTCCCTCCTTGCTGTTTGAGTTGGGCAGAGCCTGGGAGGAATTCAAATTTACAAGGCCTCTCCCTTTTCTCTTGTAAGGATTGACCTTTTCCAGGGTTATCTACAGAGATCTTCATTCACACCTTCAGCATCTCCAGGAGCAGCTCTTAGCTGGTTTTCAGATGTAAAACAGGCCAGTGCTGTTACCTTCCAGACATGCTTTTGTTAATTTGATTGAATTTTTGGTTGAAGAATTGACTTTATTTGCATGTAGATAGTAAATTACCTGTTAGTAACAGGAGTGTTAATTACATTATTGGACTGTAGACAGTGACCTGTCTGTGTGCTAGGTAGAGCTAGCTGGTGATTTTAGGAACTATTTTGCTTTCAGTTGGTCAACACTGCATTGTAAAGGAACATTCCCATTTTGTTTAGTTCAAAAAGGAGTTGGCCTAAAGGAGAAGGACTAAAACAGTGCCATCCACATGTTACTGCTCACCTGGTGGCAGGATCCACCTGGGAAGTGTTCCAGAATCATCGTTATCCTTTAAAAGTCACAAAAGTTCAGTGGTGTTTTATGAATCAGTTTGTGTTTGTTAAGGATTGCCAAGTGTTGCTTTGGCCTTGAATAAATTTCCAGAGTTTACACGGATTTAAGAGACTTCCACGAGAGGGTGCAGCAGTTCAACAAAATCCCATCTAAACCAGATGAGCCTGTCCCCACTGTGGGCAGATTTTCACTAATTTCATGCATTAATTTGTGTATTTACATCAACTTCCAAATCGGATGGGTGCTTCAGCAAATCAGTTCAATGTCCCAGAGTGTCCCTCCAGTCTGGCACTTTTTGGTGTCCCATGTTACCTGGTCTCAGCCTATCCCTGATTCCCTGCAAATGCTCACTATATGCATTTCAAAAATAAACTGTAGGGATTTTTAAAAATATTATTGTTTTAGTTTGGAAGCATAATTAATTTCCCCCTCAGACTGGTCCAGCTGCAGAAGGAGACTCCACCTAGAAGGCTGAGTTCTGGAGAAACTGCTGAGCTGAGGGTGAGTGATAGAACAGAAAGAGAAAAAAAGTTCTGTGCCAAATGGTTTCGTGTTCCATGAGACAGTCGGGAGCTCAGGAGTGACCCAGCTCTGGCTGCAGGGTGCTGCTGTGCTGACATCCTGAAAGCACAGAGCTGGCCAAGGGTCAGGGTCCATTCCTCTGTCTGCAGCACTGAAGTACCTCTGCAAAATGATTAACTCCTGACACATTGCCAGGCAAAGGGCCCACCTTGGAAGCATGTGTTCCCTGTCCAAATTCATCTATCCTAAATCACTTCCTGAGATAAGATTATTTGACAGTGAAATAACCAGAGGTGTGGTTATACTCATGTATAATACATTATATTTTTCCCTGGTAAGTGCTGTTTTCACTAGACTTGATATTCAGTAGGAGAAACAGCATGCTGTGCTTTCAAAACTTTTAATTACTAGTATGAGATGTTAAAAGAGGGAGAATTTGAGACCAAGGAAATTATTTTGTTACTGCCAGCTGCAAATGTAAAAGTTGGGTCTGAATTCAAAAGATTTCATTGATTAATTGGAACCACTTTAGTTCTGGGACTTTTCTTTTGAGCAGTGCAAAAAAGAAAAATATGAGGTTTACTAAAACATCCCCAACACACAGTGAACATGTAACCAACAAGAATATTTTTATTTTAAAGACTAGCACCACCTTCTTCCATTGACCTGCTCTAGATTATCATGTATAAACAGATAAGGTCTGGAGATGAATAGAATGAATGAACAGAATGAAATGAATGAATAGAAATTCACTAAGAAATGAATTTAATGAATAGAGAATTTCATCTTGACGTGTTTAGACTGACATTTCTGCCGTCCCTGCCTTGAGGACCGACGGCAGCAGGTGGAGCCCAGTAGGTGTCAGCCCAGCCAAGGCTTCCTGAGCACGGCTGTCAATGAACCTCTGCTGCCCTCCTGCCCTTCCTTCCCGTCAGGGAAACCTGGCTGGCATCGTTTCCCCAGATGCCACAGAGGCACAGCCAGCACAGCACAGGTGCCCTTGTCCCTCCGGGTAACTTTTAATACATGTCTGCATCGTCGGCCTTTGCTTTCCCTGGGTGCTCACCCGCCCTGGCTGCCTGGCAAAGGGTAGAGCTCGGGGTGGTGTTTGCAGGGGATTATTAGCATTTGCCATCAAGCATCCGGATGGAAAAGCACACTGGGAGCTGCCCTCTGGAGAAGATTTGGGATCTCCACATGACCCGACCTGGCCCAGAACCTCCCCTGCCCCGTGCCCTGGGCTGAGCCCCAGTGTGGGCAGCAGAGGAGGGGAAATTCTTCCCCACTCAGGTGGGACCCCACCTGCAGAGCTGCCCCCAGACCTGGGGAACAACATCAGGAGGATGTGGAGCTACTGGAGAGAGTCCAGAGGAGGCCGAGGAGATACCCCAGGGGCTGGAGCCCCTCTGGAGCCAGGCTGGAAGAGCTGGGAATGTTCCCCTGGAGAAGGGAAAAATCCAGGGAGAGCTCAGAGCCTGAAGGGGCTCCAGGAGAGCTGGAGAGGGGCAGGGGACAAGGCCTGGACACGGGACACAGGGAATGGCACCCAGTGCCAGGGGGCAGGACGGGCTGGGATGGAATTCCCAGAGCAGCTGGGGCTGCCCCTGGATCCCTGGCAGTGCCCAAGGCCAGGCTGGACTTTGGGACTTGGAGCAGCCGGGGACAGTGGGAGGCCCCTGCCCAAGGAGGGGTGAGAATGAGGTGAGATTTAAGGTGTTTGTCACCCAAACCATTCTATGATCCCTTTGTTAGTTGTCTGCACGCTGCTGTTTGTTGCCTTGTGTGAAACACTAGAAAGGACAATGAACTTTCCTGTACTGGGATGTGTTTTAGGAAGTGAAGAATGTTCATTGTGCAAGAGTTGAGGTGGAAAAGGAGTTTTGTCATTAGAAAAAAATGTGTTGGAGCCTGAGAGCTTTGTTGTTTTATCACAAACATTTAAGTCAGATGTTTCCCCTCTTTTCATCAGCGAATCCGAGTGTGCATGCTGATTATCCTGTATTTGCAAGTCAGAGTTGTAAATTGCTGTATTCAGCTGGGGCCGTTTACCATCTGAAAGAAATAATTAAAGCTTTCTTTCTCTTGCTTAAGATTTAAACATGTATTTAAAGATGAGATCATGCTTTCACGGTGGTCAGAGTTTCTTTCTATATTTGTGTGGAGTGGCCTCAGAAATGGGTGTCTGAGGGTCTGGTGAGCTCTGTTTCTTTTAATTATATATTTGGGGAAAGATGGTTATTCCAGCCTCTGTCTTTGCCTGGTTCCATCCTCCCAGCCCCAGTGCAGCAGGAGCTGTGCCCACCCCAGTGTGCAGATCAGCCATATGTGCCTCTTATTTATAGCTCATGCGTGAAGGGAGCTATTCCAAAGTGGTAATTTCTCTTCTGGTGGTGGCACATAAATACAAGTGTGTGTGAGCAGCTCCTTCTCCCTGAACGAGGATGTGACACATCCCAGTCACCCTGCTCGGGAATGCTCCAGTCCAGACAGACTGGGAGGCTCTGTCTGATGCTTCAGACACTCAAGAGCTCAATTAATTTATAGATGATAATTTGTTTTCAGCTCCTGCAGATACAGATACCACCTTGACGCAGCCTCTCTGGAGTCATTCTCTCTCCAGCTGCATTGGAGAGGGACTGTTTACAAGGACATGGAGGGACAGGACAAGGGGGAATGGTTTCAAACTGGCAAGGAGTAGGTTTAGATTGGATAAAGTTCTCCCCTGTGAGGGTGGGGAGGCCGTGGCACAGAGAAGCTGTGGCTGCCCCATCCCTGGAAGTCCAAAGCCAGGTTGGATAGGGCTTGGAGCAGCCTGGGATAGTGGAAGGTGGGAAACCCCAAAAGTTCTGATTCCATGGAGCTCCATTTCCGTAATTTGTTGGGAAAATGGCATGTCCTACCTGCACTATAAATGCAGCTGTGCAATATTTTCCAACTGTGCTGTACCATTTGTGCCACCTTAAAACAAGTTTCCTGCCAGCTGCCTTTGTTTTCTGTATGCGTAATTTCATAAAGTCACTGAGCGCAAGGAATGAAAGGCGGGCTTTAAAAAGAAAACAAGAACACGAGTTGTGGAAGCCCAGAGTGCTTTGGCATGGAAGGACCTTCAAGCTCATCTTGATCCAGTGGGCAGGGACACCTTCCAAAGGTCAGGTTGCTCCAAGCACCATCCAACCTGGCCTTGGGCGTTTCCAGGGATGGGCAGTCACAGCCTCTCTGGGCAGATGATACAATAGGTGTTCCATCAGCACCAGTGTTACATCCTGCAGTTACTGCCTCCTTTATCATTTCTCTTACCTGGCCGTTAGTGCTGCGGAAGCAGCGGCTGTGGCTGGTGTCGGTGCGAGGTGCGGCCGTGCCCCGCTGGCTTTCTCCGGGGCAGGCAGTGATTCAGCAGGGAAGCATGCCAGGCCGGCACGGACAGCCGAACCGGCCGTGCTCCCGCACACGTACAGCGACAGCACGGGCACGGCCGGGACAAAGGAGGCTAACTGCTCCTAACCAATCCCACCTATAAAATACTCGGTAAACACACAAGAGCTGCCTCTAGCGCCTTATCACAGCACGGCTTGGGAAGGGACCTTACAACTCATCTCATTCCACCACCCTGCCGTGGCCAGGGACACCAGGTAGCTCCAAGCCCGGTCCAGCCTGGCCTCGAGCACTTTCCGGGCTGGGGCAGGCACGGCCTCTCTGGGAACCTGTTCCGCTCCACGCTCGCTTTTCCGGAGTGTGTCACCGGCAGGAGCACAGCCGCGACCGGGGCAGCGCCGTGCCAGGGGCTGCCTGCGGCCGCGCCGAGTGAGTCACGGTGACTTTGTTCCGGGACGGGCTCCCTGCTTGTCTCTTACTCATTAATTAGCGCGGCCGGAGCCGCTCGCACCGCGAGCTCGGCGGCGCGGGGAGGCTCAGGGCGCCGCGCCTGCCTTCCGTGATCACGGTGCGTTCTCCGTGCTGCGTGACTGGGGCTGGCACGGCTCGTTCCCGGCGTGTTCCCGGCCCGTGCCCGGGGACACGGCTCCCTCGCAGCCCGCCCGAACCGAAACGCTCGGCGCGTGATAAAAGAAACGCGAAGGGGCCTCTCGCTCTTGGGAACGGCCCCGGGCGGCGCTTTCGGTTCTGGCCGCTGACACCGGCGTGGGGCGGGGGGGCACGGGGCGTGCTGCAGCCCGGCCGGCGCCGCGGGGGGACCGGCCCCGGGGCGAGGACCGGCCCCGGGGCGGGGAAGCGGCCGGAGCCGCCCTCGCTCCGCCCCGGCCGGCGCTGCCCCGGCGGCTCCTCGGCAGCGCTATTTAAACGGGCGGCGGAGCGAGCGGGAGGAGCCGGGCCGGGCGGGGGGATGCGCGGGCGGACGCGGCCCTCGGTGCGGACACGGCGGCGCTGACCCCGCACCGGCCGCGGTCACGGTGTCCCGCCCGCCGCGTTTGTTGCATCCGCCCCCACCAGAAAAGTGGTTTCGCTGTGGAGTTACCGTGGATTCGGGTCAGAACGCGGGAGCAGCGCCGAGGGAGCCCGCGCCGGTAGGTCCCCGCTGCGCTGGGCTGCCTCCCGGCAGCTCCGCCGTGCTCAGGGTCCGTGTCTGGGCTGCCGCTCCCGTTGCTGCTGCTGAAGCGTGCCCGAGGCCCGGCAGCGCTGTCTGTGCAGAGGAGAGCGGCTCGCGTGCGATGCCGAGCGCCCGGGGAGCGAGCCCCGGCGAGACAGCGGCGGCTGCGGGAGCACCGCGGCGGGAGCGCCGCTGCGGCCGAGCCGAGCCGAGCCGAGCCGAGCCGAGCCGAGCCGAGCCTCCTCCTTCCTGCTGCTTTATTTTTAGAGCCGCTGGGGGATCCGGCTCCGCTCACGGAGGCACTTCTGTAAAAATAGCAGCCAAACTTCAGTGCTGCTCCAGTGAGGGATACGAATGTTGAAATAGCAGCGGAGGTACGGCTGGAGGAGATCAGAAGTCACTTGCTCAGCACCTTGGCGCCGCTGGGGTCCTGGAGCCCTGGCGGATCCTCTCGCTCCTGGCCGGGGCACTGAGACCTGGGCTGCAACGACGGCAACATCTCCTCTTCGGAGGCGAGGATTTTTAAACCTTTGGAGTTACCTGGAGGAGCCTTTGGTGGTTCGGAGGAATTGCCTGATGTCTGTGGAAGAATCACAGATGCACCGACGACTTTGGGGATAACTGCCAAACAGATGTACCAGTGGCTTTAAATTTAATCTAAAAATGGGAAAACTGGAGAGGCACAACTTTTTTTTTTTTTTCTTTTTTTTTCTTTTTCCTGGCAATTCTGATGTGCTGTTTCCCAGGGAAATGGAAAAACCTTATAAATGAATGTTCCAATATACGGGAGGCTCAATGAGAAATTTTCCAGAGCAAATCATCGGTAGTAAGAAATTATTGCCAAATTTTCTCTGGTTTTTTTGGGGATTTTGTTTTGAAGTGGGGAGTAACTCTGCTCGGAATGCATTTATCCAGGAAGTAATCCTTAATGTGCTCCACTCTGAGCATTGAGCCTGCATGCGAGATTGAAGAGGGTTTAATTAAATGTAATCAAATATTACAGCATTCCTGATTAAAAGGCACTTGCTTTTCGTGACGTACGAGACACACTGCTTATTTGTGCTTTAAAATAATACAATTCTGCAGCTTGCGAGTAATGCCTTTCTCGCCTCCTGAGTAACCATCACCCTTGTGTTTGCTTCCCTGCCCAGTTTTAATTCCTGGTGCCCGGCGTGGCGAGAGGAGCGCGGTGTGTCACCGCCGGGTGCCACGGGGCGAGGCTGGGCACAGGGCAGGGCCGGCTGGCAGCTCTGGGCTCCCGGAGAGCCCCGGCGGGGTGGCACGGGGCGGGTTTGCCGTGGGTCCCGCGGCTCCCCGTGGGAGGTGACACGGGGGAGGACGCATGCCATCGGAATGGGAACGTGTAGGTTTGCTCAGGAAACGGTGCGGGGGGGGGACGTGTCTCATGCTCCTCAGGTCCGTGTGCGAGGGAGGCACAGGAATCGTGCCATGTTCTCTCCTGTGGGATAGAACGAGCCCGAGCCGCGTGTGCTGAGCATCCTGACAGGGAGGAGGCGGCCGAGCATCCCCCTTTCCTGCCCACCCTCGGGGACTGCGTGCCGGAGTGGCTCAGAGCCTGCGTGTGCGGGGAGAGGAGCAGTGTGGGGTTGGGATTAATTAGCCCCGGTTTAGCTGTTTTCATGCTTTACGTGCCTAAGGGCTGCCCGCAGTCACAGCGAGAGGAGGAGTTTGCTGTTGCTGGCTCCAAATCCTCTCTCAGGGGTGATCTTGTTCGTGTCAACCGTGAGCAATTAGAGAGATTAACTATCTTGTTTTCCCTTCTGCCCTAGGTTGATTCCTGGGGGGCTGTGGGACATTTGAAAGTGATTTGGAGAGAGCAAAGTCTGTGTCCGATGGACAGCGAGCCGCAGCCGGCGTGCGTGGTGCCCCAGGCCCCCTGCCCAGCCATGAAGTGCTCTCCTTCCCAGGACTTTCCTCCCCAGGTGAGGCTGGCTGAAAAGATCCCCCCGGTGAAGCCTTGCTTCAAGAAGAAGCAGCAAGGGCAGAAGAGACTGGACACACAAACTCTGCGGGCCCTACGACCCATCTTCACCAGCCTGCTGGGAGCCGGGGCCTTGGACAGGGTCTTTGTGCCCCGGGGCCAGCGTGGTGGCCACGGGGATTTATGTGAACCTGCAGTGAAAAAGGCTCTGGACCTCGGTACCTCTTGCCCCCAGACGGAAAATAATGTGACTGTGCTGATGCCAACAGCTCCAGATGTGCAGGGTCAGCTGCCGGGAGCTCGGCCTTCCCCCGGGCACCCTGAGCAGGACGTGCAGCCAGGAGAGCAAGGTTTCTCCCCAGAAACTCCTGGGACTGCTGCTGATAATGGCAATGAATCATTCCAGGATCATCCTTTGCACCCAAGTGCTGGTGATGGTGCAGCTTGTCCTTTGTTCCCTGACAAGGTTCTGGAAAGCCACACATCTGGCTTACTGCAGGAGAACAGCTGTCCGGTGCAATACAACTTGACCCCAGGCAATAAATTCAGTGCTGGGATATTCCAGGATAAAAGTGAAGAAGCTTCCCTTGACCTGGTGTTTGAGCTCTTGAACCAGCTGCAGTATCACACCCACCAGGAGGACGGGATTGAAATCTGTGTGGATTTTCTCCAGGGCACTTGTGTTTATGGCAGTGACTGTCCCAAGCATCACACAGTGCTACCCTACCACTGGCAGGTGAGGAGGACAGCAACCCAGAGGTGGCAAAGTGTGACCAACGATTCCCAGGAGCACCTGGAGAGGCTCTACTGCAACCCTGACAATGACAAGATCAAAGTCAAGTATCGGTAGGTAGCTGAATTTACTCCCTTGCTGGGAAGGGTGCAGAAATAGAACAGGATGTGCCTTTTTTTTTTTCCCCTGATACTCATATCCAAGTATGTTATCAACCCTGGGATGATGTTTCCTGATTCATATCCAACAAGTTTAACTCGACAAAAAAAGTTTTGTACACCTGTAGAATTGTTCTTTAGCATCTGGAATGTGTTCTTTGAAGCTGGAGGACTTGGAGTGTGTGAAATAAGAAAACTTCAGCTCGGTAGGAATTCAGAGGCTGTTGTGGAATGCTGTGCTTGTTCTCGGCGTTCCTAATTAGTCTTTCCTCTGTGTTGGACAAAGTGGCAGCATGAAAGCCTTGGCAGCGCTGGGGACAGGGATGACAGAGCAGTTGTTCTGTGTCACTGGGAGCACAGGCTGCATCATTCCACCCCCAGCAGCCGAAGCAGAGGGAGCTCTGCAGAGCCCTGGGAAGTGTCCGTGGCAGCAAATGGGGGTGTTTCAGCTATGGGGATGCTTCAGCTATTCCCTGGGAGCAGCCTGAGCCTGATCAGAAATGCTGATCATCCCCCCTGCTAAAGCAGATATTGAAGTTATTGTTTTCTCTGGACAGAGCTGTGTTTATTGACTCATTTTCTAAAATTAGACAACAGCTGTTAGGTGGATGTGGTTGTGTGACCTGTGTGGGTTCCTGCACCCTGAGAGCTAAAACTTGTTCAGCTTCTCCCCTGCAGGTTCCAGCGTGAGGAGCAGTGGGGAAGAGTGATGTTCGCAGGGTGCAGTTGGTGCAGGGTGCAGACTGGTGTGGAGTGTTTGTTTTTTGTTTGTTTTTTTGGAGGAAGTGTGTGGTGCACGTTGTGACAGGGCAGATAAGACAGGAGAAGTTTGCCAGGCTGGCAGAATTCCAGTTCAAAGGGACATTTCTGGAGTGAAAACTTCACCCTGCCTTTGCCTGAATCCTTGGGGGTTCTGCTCACTGCCTCTTCTTCCTTTCAGCTCCTGAAGGAGGTCTGTCCCTGCTTTCTCAAGATTTTCTTTTCATTTATTAAGCTGAGATTTCTCATTTGGCACCAGAGACCAAATCTAGTGCTTAAAGTAGATTTAGTCTTTACTTTCACTTAATTTGATGTTGGATTAGACACTGAATCCAACCTTTGTCATAGATTTAAACTGATTTGGGGTGGAAGGGACCTCAAAGCCCATCCAGTGCCACCCCTGCCATGGCAGGGACACCTCCCACTGCCCCAGGTGCTCCAAGTCCCAGTGTCCAACCTGACTTTGGGCACTGCCAGGGATCCAGGGGCAGCCACAGCTGTGCCAGGGCCTTTTTAGTGATGGCAATATGAGAATATGGATGCCCCACACTGAAAATGGAGTAGGATATGTAGTAGGGAACAACTGTATTTTATAGAATTGTCTTGAAGAAATACGCCTGTCTAATAAAAATTGAAAAATCTTCTAAGTGCATAGCAGATAAAATTTGCTGTATTTTACAACAGAGGAACTTCTATATCCCAAGTGTTAGAAATGATTTCTGAAAACCAAACAGCACAGCCAGGGACAAGCCCATTAAATGATTTAACTTTGAATTCTGTGTAAATGAGCAAATGGTTTTCTTTTAGAAGTTGTGTCACCGAATCCACCAGTGCACACGAGCTCTGTGTCCTGAAGGATGATTAATGGCAAAGGACATTGCTTGGTCATGGCTGAGCCACCCCCAGGCTGGGAAGCTGCTGGGCAGTGACATCTCCCTTGCCTGGTGGCACTTCTGCCTGTCTGACCCAGCAGGGACAGGGTGGCAGCTGTGTGCCAGGGACAGGGGCAGCGTGGGCTGGGGGGACACTGCCCTCAGCCTGGGGACACAGACCTGGCCTTGCTGGGCTGAGTGGGATCTGCCAGACTGCAGGTTTACCCTGCATGTTGGGGAGAAATTCCTCCCTGGAGGGTGGGCAGGCCTGGCACAGGTGCCCAGAGCAGCTGGGGCTGCCCCTGGATCCCTGGCAGTGCCCAAGGCCAGGCTGGACACTGGGGCTGGAGCAGCCTGGGACAGTGCAAGGTGTCCCTGCCATGGCAGGGCTGGAATCTGCTGATCTTTGAGATCCCTTCCAACCTTGGAAGAGCTTCACTGCTGGTTAAGGGTCAGTGAGACCTTTGAAGTAAAGCCCTATTTAAGACCAGAGCTTCTGATTTCAAACTTTTGAGTCTGATCCTCCTCGGAACTTTGGCTTGCCAAGGTTTTAAGCCAGGTTTTGAGGTGGGAGGTCAGTGTTTTAGTGTGTGCACCATCAGCAGCTTCTTCTTTGGCAGCCTCAGCTTGTCTGAGGAGAGCCTGCCCAGGTGTGGGGAGCCCCAGGTCCCAGGTGGTCACTGTCCCCGTGCTGTGTCCCCGGCAGCCGTGGGCTGTGAACGTGCCCCGCCAGCATCCCATGGTCCCAGCATTATTGGTTAAAGCCATTAATCTCCCGTGGTCAGACGAGCTTTGCAGGCCTGTCTGCTCCCTGCAGCCCAGGAAACGCCTGCTCAGCACTCTGCCAGGCTGCTCTTCCTCCTGCCCTGGCCCACAGCTCTGCGGGCGTGGTGGGTGGCATGGAATAATCCTGGCACCGCCGCTGCCCCGGGGAGCTGGGCCCTTCCAGAAAGTGCTGGCCACCAGCTCAATTAGGGAATGAGCTCTAAATTAGGGTGTCCTTCACGGAGCTATTTATATAAACCTTCCTTCCTCTTAATTATTGGGATGAGTAATGATGGAGATAAGTTATTGAGATGAGTAATGTAAAATACACATTAAGTTGTTGCCTCTCACCTAAGGGAATGTGATCTCAGAGGAGTGGTAAACCTTGTTTAGTTACTCTGTAATGCAACTCCTTCAGCTACCTCTTGCAGTTTGGCCTCAAACTAGTATCATAAATTACTTTTTTTTTTGTGTGTGTGTTCTCGAGTCTGCCAAGTACGTAGAGCCACATACCAAGCTATCTAAACAAACGGGGGAACATCAACTTCAACAGGTTAAAGTACTTAGAAGCACTCCGTTTCCTTCATAGATGTGAGCAGAGGCCCTGGAGGAGTTCCAGCTTTCAGCAGAGAGAGCCGTGCCAAGTGCTGCTTTCCAGCAGGAGATGCCCACGTTGGGATATTTTAAGATGCTCTTTGCTAAGGGGGAATACTTGGCTGAGGAGCTGAGCAGGTTTCCCCACACACACACACACACACACACACCTGTCCTGTCATGCACACATTGCTTTTCAAAACAAGCAGCAGCATTAGAGATTACAGGAGGATTTGTTTAAAACAACTCTGCAGTTCCTGACCCATCAGTTCCCCCTGCTTTGGCTGAAAGTTCCACTCTTCCTCTTGGCAAAAAGAGCTCCCAGGTCACCTGACACGGCAGATTCTTGCTGTTGCTTTGATTTCTTGCCCTTTTCTTTCTTTTTTCTCATAATTTTGGTAAGTTTTATGGAATGGCTGCAGTGAGGGAAAAGCAGCTGGCTCTGCAGTGGGACGTGTCCTGCTGGGAGCTCTTGTCCCTGTGCTCACTCCTTGGGTGAAGGCAGGAGATGACAGCACAAGAGGACACTCAGCTGTCCTGGGGAGCTTCAGCTGGGCTGTCAGCAGGAATTTCCCCAGGGAAAGGGTGCTCGGGCACAGGAAGGGTCTGGCCAGGGAGGCTGGGAGTGCCCATCCCTGGAGGTGCCCAGGGCATGACTGAACGTGGCACTGGCTGCTGTGGGACGAGGCTGGACTCGGTGTTCTCAGAGGGCTTTTCCAGGCACAGTGATCCCGTGGCTCTGGGAACACAGAGTGTTCCACTGCAGTTATCAGGGGGCACGAGAAGGGGCTGGGAAGGAGGGGCATGGACACAACAAAATGTACAGGAAACTGGTTTTCCTTCATTCCTCTGTGTGTGGGATGGCTGCTTCTCTGCTGCTGACAGAATGTGCTTGGCGTGTTAAAATCATGCAGAGCACGCTGCAGGCATTCCAGGATGGAATCACGGAATCACAGAGTGCTTTGGCTTGGAAAAGGACTCAAAGCCCAGCCAGTGCCACCCCTGCCCTGGCAGGGACACCTCCCACTGTCCCAGGCTGCTCCCAGCCCTGGCCAGCCTGGCCTTGGGCACTGCCAGGGGTGGGGCAGAGCCACAGCCTCTGGGGCAGCAGCTGTCCGGGGAGCTCTGCAGGTCCCTGGCCCACCAAACAGTTAAATTTCAGAAGTTTTCTATGTGATCCACACACAGCAGTGTGTGAGATAAGGCATCTGTTAGTGATAACAGGATGGGAAAGCAGCTGAGAGTCCCTGTGCCTGGGTTTGGGGGAGGTTCTTGGCCATACCCTCTGAGGCTGGGAGCTGCTTTTCATTCCTTTCCAGCAGGAATGCAAGGCAGAGCCTCCGTGAAACTGCTGGGAAGTGATTTTGGAAGTGTTTGCCTTGTGCTGTGTGGGCTCCTTCTTGCTGCACTTTGCAGCACCATTTCCATATGAAATGGAACTAATTGGCTCCTAGCTGCACAAAGCAGGGGGGGCCCTGAGCTGTGAGGAGCCACCGCTGCCATCCCTGCTCCTGTTTCCTGTCAACAAACAGATCTCACCCTGGGGACCGGCTGTCACCTGGCTGGGGCTGGGGTCAGCCTGCTCCGGGCACAGAGCAGCTCCTCCTGGGGCAGGGATCAGGGGCTGCTCCCAGGAGCTGCTCCCAGGCAGGCCAGGGGACACCAGGGCCTGGGACAGGATTGCTGTGCCAGGGGACACCAGGGGCTGGGACAGGATTGCTGTGCCAGGGGACACCAGGGGCTGGGACAGGATTGCTGTGCCAGGGGACACCAGGGGGCTGGGACAATGCTTCCATCAAGAAGTTCCTTCCTGAGTTGGTAGTAATTGGGAATCTGATTCTTGTAGGCACATGTACACGGGAGTGGTTTTTTTTGGGGGGGAAGTTGCTTTTGGAAGGTGTGCCAGACAGGGAACATTCGTTTTTAGGAAAAGCCTGGAATGATGGGACAAGGGGAATGAATTTCCACTGCCAGAAGGCAGAGATAGGTGGGATGTTGGAAAGGAATTCCTGGCTGGGAGGGTGGGCAGGCCCTGGCACAGGTACCAGAGCAGCTGGGGCTGCCCCTGGATCCCTGGCAGTGCCCAGGGCCAGGCTGGAGCAGCCTGGCACAGTGGAAGATGCCCCTGCCTGTGGCACTGGGAGAGCTTTAGGTCCCTGCCTGTAGCAGCTCTGCAGCCACTCAGAGCTGTGCTTGTGCTCCTCTAAAACATAAATAGCTTAGGTTGGACAGGACCCTTAAAGGTCATCGAGTCCCAGCCCTGGCAGGAGCATCTTTTAGTGATTTACCAAAAAAACAAAGCAACCCCTCCCAAACACTTCCACATCCCCTGAGAGCCCCCAGAGCCCAGCAAGCCCAGGGACTCTGTTTGTGCTGCCCTGCAAACGGGAGCTGCAGCTGGAGTAGGAACAGGGTGCCTGTGCCATCCCTGCAGAGGGGGATGTTCAACACCCCCATTGCAGTGGAGCTTGAGAACTTAACCCAAGCCCACACCCCAGGACCTCGTGTTCACCAGTGGCTTCTTGGGAAGAACAAACAACTTCTGGTTCAGTCTCCTCTCCTCCAGCAGCCCTGCCTCAAGGACTTCCTGCTCCACAGCTGGGGGGTTACTTTTATTGGTATTTTTGCTGTTTATTTTCCCTGCCAGGCATTCATCCAAGCTGTATATGCACACACACACACACATACATGGGACAGTTTTATTACTGTTTTTATTCTCCCTGCCAGGCATTCATCTAAGCTGTATATGTACACACACACACACACACGTGGGCCAGTTTGTCAGCAGTTGTTTCAGGTTCACAAGCTGGCCCCCCTGGCTGTGAAAATTCCAGAAGATTGCTTTTGCAAGCACCCCAGTCACCAACGATAAAGGCAGGGGAAAGCAGACTTTGAAACCTTTAAAAAATAAACACAGGAAAAGCAGCAAAGTCACTCCTTTTGGGTTCCTGTCTGAGGAAGGGCCCTTTAAGCTGAGAGGGAAATGTGTGCAGCATTTCCCAGTCTGAGGTGTCACCTCCCACGAGGCCCAGGGTCACCACAGAGAGCACAGCGTGACCTGATGAGAGGGAAAATGCAGAAAAATCAGAAACTCACGTGCTGCCCTGGCTCTGAATTGAGGAGGCACCGATAAGATCAGGCTCAGCTGGGTTGTTTGTGCTCCTGCCCTGCTGCAGAGGTTCCTGTGTGCCTGGCACAGCCTGGCAGCCCAGTGCTGCTTCCTGGGTGCTCCTGAAATAGAGATTTATTCTGCATATTGCTTCACTGCCAGTGCTGAGCTGGAGGAGCTGCTGGTGAGCATCCCTGGGGATTGTTCCTGGCCCTTTCCTGCTGTGCCTTTCCATGGGAGCACATCTGGCTCTGCTGTCTGAGCTCTGCTGTTGCCATTCCAGCACCTGTGGTGCCAAATTCAACTCGTGGTTGGGTGCCCAGCCCTGGCCCAGGCTGCCTGCTGGAGTCCCCATCCCTGGAGGGGTTTGGCAGCCCTGGGGAGGTGGCACTTGGGGACGTGGGTCAGCGGTGGCCTTGGCAGTGCTGGGGGAATGTTGGACTCGATGCTCTGGGGGAGCTTTTCCAATGTAACCAAATCTGTGATTTCCATCATCTTTTTGAAGTTGATATCCTTTAAGTGACGTTTGCTTTCACACAGGAGTTTAAACACTCGGCCCCCCACCCCAAGCTGGGCTCATCTGTGGGAGATGAGCAGCTTCCATCAAGGGCACGCAGGAGATGAGGTCCTGGTGCCACCAGAAGTGCCAGTGCCCGCCTTGCCTCTGCAGTGGCTCCCCAGCCCCTGCAGAACCCCCCTGGTGCCTCTGGGGCTCTCCGGGGTGCCGGGGGCAGCAGGCCCTGCTGCTGCAGGGAGGAGCTGCTCGAGTCAGAGGAGCAGCTCAGCAGTTTCGGGGCTGAGCCTCGCAGCTGCTCTGCTGGGAGCAGCTTTCATTTCCTGCTGGGCCCTGCTGCTCGCTGCTTTGTCTCAACCTGTTTGCGGTGACTGCGACGCGTCCCCTGCAAACCACCGAGCACTTCCAGAGCACTGCCAGACTGAATCCTCTGCTCAGATGTGATGCCTGGAGGGTGTTTGTCCTGCTGAAGGCAAAGAGCTCGAGGGATTCGTGCTGCACTTCTGCAGAAGGATGGAGGGAAGAGCCTAAATTTCCTTATTTTGGCTGCACCCAGCTGAAAAAAATCTATCGGTGTTAATCAAGGAACCTGCTCAGTCCAGTGTCCTGCAAAGTTTACACCTTCTGTTATTTCTTACACGCTGGGAACAGTGAAAATGAAACTTATTAGTGGGGTCACGTTCTGCTGTTGAGAGCTTGTGGAGTTTTATTATGAATTGTGCTGTTCTGCAGCACCAAATTTGGGTTGTGTGCCCTGTTCCTCTAAGAGTTCAACGTGCTCACTCTCTCTGTGCAAACAGTTCCACTGAACTGCTTAATTTCATAAATAGAAACCTTTATTTGGTGAGCTGGTGAGGAGAAATTCTTCAGAAATCTGTTCTCACCTCTCCAGTCTCTGTGGGACCTTTAACAAGGGCACTTAGTGCCAGGACAAGGGGAAAGGCTCCCACTGCCAGAGGGCAGGGATGGATGGGATTGGGAACTGGGAATTGTTCCTGTGAGGGTGGGCAGGCCTGGCACAGGTGCCCAGAGCAGCTGGGGCTGCCCCTGGATCCCTGGCAGTGCCCAAGGCCAGGCTGGACAGTGGGATGTGTCCCAGGGGTGGCACTGGATGAGATTTTGGACTCCCTCCCAACCCAAATTCCAGTATTCTACACCTCAGACAGCTGCTGGCTTTGAGGTTTTGCCCCTCTGTGCTGAACACGATGTGTTTAATGGCAAACAAAAGGTGAGAATTGTGTGTTCCTCCCTTTCCCCAGGGGCCAGGAGTGCTGGGTGGATCTGAACCTTATGAAGCTGTACGAAAGTGCAGAGTTCGACCAAATGCGGCGCCTGTCCACAGCCTCCTGCCCCGGCTCCAGCTCCAGCTGCTACACCGTGTGGAAGTACTTCTGCAGGGACCACTTTGGCTGGAGAGAGTACTCTGAGGTACAGCCCCCCATGCAGCACCCACCGAATCCCCTGCAGCCATCAGGGAGGCCAGCTGGCCTTAGAGCCCGTGCTGCACTGAGACAGCAGTGAGGGGACAGCTCTGCTGGCCTGCCTTGTGCTCCTGGGATCCTGCCACTTGAATTGCCCTGAAAGCACCAGAGACGTGAGGTCAGGCCACACTGTCCCCCTGGGGAGCACACCAGCTCTGGCAGTACCAAGGAAGCCCTTCTGGAGCCTGGTTTGCTTTCATGACAGTGGCACAGCTTCAGAACGGCGCCTCCACGAACCTTGGCAACTTTGAATTGATCTGCCTGTTCCCAGAGCTCTGCTGAGGCAGGACGTGCACTGCCCCAGCTGATGGTTGGGGTGAAACCTCATCAGTGCAGGCAGTCCCTGCAACTCCTGAGTGCAAGGCCTGGAGAGAGTTGGGCAGAAATACCACAAAGAACATGGTGAGGGTGTTGGAGCTGCGAGGAGAACTGGGTTTGTGCAGTGTAGGACAGGATGTGAATTTTGGAGCCTGTGATTTCTCACATGTGCATTCCCCTTCCCCGTTTTCCCGTGATTTTCCCCTCCTTTCTCCCCCATTTCTCCTTGTTTTCCCCCCGTTTTCCCCACTCTTTCTCTCCTATTTTCCCCTGGTTTTTACCTGTTTTTTCCCACTTTTCTTCCCATTTTTCCCCCCGTCTTTTCCCCCGATTTCTCTCCATTTTCTCCTCCTGTTTTTCCCCATTTCCCTCCTGTTTCTTCCCGTTTTCTCACCCTGTTTTTCACCCTGTTTCTCACCCTGTTTCTCACCCATTTCTCACCCATTTCCCTGGTTTCCCCCCCTATTTCACCCTCTGTTTTCCCCCCTATTTTCCCCCCCTTTCCCCCCTTTCCCCGTGCAGCCCGTGGTGAGGCTGATCGAGGAGGCGAGCTGCCGGGGGCTGCGCGAGGTGCGCTTCATCACCTGGCACAACCAGTACATCCTCAACATCAAGGACGGCTTCCAGCAGAACTCCTGCTTCCGCAGGGAGATCAAGAGGAGGCCCCTGCTGCGCTCCTGCCTGCTGCTCATGCCCTTCCTGCAGTAGGTATCCCCGAAAATGGGCCATGTGTCCCCGAAAACGGGCCGTGTGTCCCCAAAAACGGGCCGTGTGTCCCCAAAAACGGGCCGTGTGTCCCCAAAAACGGGCCGTGTGTCCCCAAAAACGGGCCGTGTGTCCCCAAAAATGGGCCATTCCCAGTGCCCTTCCTGCACGAGATATCCCCAAAAATGGGCCATGTGTCCCCAAAAATGGGCCATGTATCCCCAAAAATGGGCCATTCCCACTGCCCATCCTGCATGAGGTATCCCCAAAACGGGCCATGTATCCCCAAAAATGGGCCATGTGTCCCCAAAAACGGGCCGTGTGTCCCCAAAAATGGGCCATGCGTCCCCGAAAATGGGCCATGTGTCCCCAAAAATGGGCCATGTGTTCCCAAAAATGGGCCATTCCCAGTGCCCTTCCTGCACGAGATATCCCCAAAAATGGGCCATGCGTCCCCGAAAACGGGCCATGTATCCCCAAAAATGGGCCATGCCCACTGCCCATCCTGCATGAGGTAACCCCAAAAATGGGCCATGTGTCCCCAAAAATGGGCCATGCCCACTGCCCTCCACGTGGGTTCTGATGGGGGAGTTGTGTTCCTGTGACAGGGAGCAGGCACTGTTGGGTGGGAAATGGGAAGGAGAACCCAAAATCTGGGGTGTGCTGGCAGCTCCTGCCACTGTCCAAAGGAATGTTTGTCTGAGGAGCTCCTTGTTTAGATCTGTAATGGATTTTGTAGATGCTGGAATGTCAGGTTTGCCAAATTCCCGTCCATTTTCCAGCAGCCTGGGCCGTGGGAGGTGTCCCTGCCTTGGCACTGGATGGGGTTGGAGGTCCTGGCAGCCCAAACCATCCCGTGCTGGGTCAGTGGGAGCACCTACAAACTAAACTCTGAGATTCGGTTCTGCACCAAACTTCATCCTCATTTTATTCATCCAAAGACCTTGTAAAGCTCACTTAAAAACACAGATTCTTGAACAAGAGTATTTGAAATATTTATGGGATCTATCCTTCAGGAGTCAGTGTTGCCTCCACTTCCCACATGATGCTACCTGAGATTTATTCTTTCCCTCACCTCCCACCTGCTTAAATCTCTTCTAGAATTGGAAAAGAATCCTTGAATAGGAATGAAAAATGTAGACTTTTTTAATGGCTTCCCCTGTAGAATAAATAACATAAATATTTTACACCAGTCAGAAGAACTGAACAAACTACACCAAAGGATTGCAGGATTTTTATTGGATTTGATTCTTCCTCATTAATCCTTACTGGCAATCTGTGTTTGCTCTTCCAGTCCAGTGTGAGTGATGAGGCCCTACAGGAATATTTTTTTTACCCATTTGCCCATCAAAGAGAAAAAACAAATTAAAAACAAATGCCCACTTTGGTATTTGACTGCTATTTTAATAGTAATTTGTAGAACAAATTTCTGGGTTTCTGCTCAGCTGTTAATAACCAGTGAGAAGAGCTTGGAGTGAAGTCAAATCCATGCAAATGAAGGGAATCCTGGCCTTGGCCTCGAGCAGGAGGGAACAGCCAGCGAACGCTCAGAGAGTGTTTCTGCCCTGAAAAGTGGGAGGGCTGTCACAGCTTTCCACGTGTTGATTTAAAAATAGACCTTTTTCCACTAAACTTCCCCCTCCCAATGCTTTTCCTTGGGTTTGCTTTGGTTTCTGGCCATCTGTGGGGCTGGGAGAGCAGCTCCAGCCTGGGCCTGGCAGCAGCCAGTGCCTCTCTCCTGCTGCCTGCCCCGCGGCACTGAAGGGTTGGCAGCTTTTCCTGGGGAAATGCTTTGGGAAAATCCTCCTTGGTGGACTTTGGAGCTCGCCCCACGTGTTCCTGCAGCTGCAGGAGCTGTGCTGGTGTGAGCCAGGGCCCTGCAGTGCCACGGTCCCCATGTTCCCCGTGGCACAGGAGGGAGAATCCAGGGAGCGAGGATTTACTCAGCCGAGTAAGGGCTGCTCACTCAGTGGGAGCAGGGGGACGTAAAGCACAAAGGCCACTTCTCTGAGTTAGCAGCTTCCAGAGTGTGAGGATCCACAGAGGGTAGGAGCAGGGTCCTGCTGCTCCCCTTTGTGGGTTTTTGCCTGGCATCCATGGGCACAGCTCCCTCCCTCACCCTGCCTGCTCTCCAGGCAGCATTCCCAGAGCTCTGGCTGTGCCAATGCCAGTAAGAATCTTCCTGTTTGGGGAAGGGGCCTTAAATCCCACCCAGTGCCACCCCCTGCCACAGGCAGACACTTCCCCCTACCCCAGGGTGCTCCAAGCCCTGTCCAGCGTGGCCTTGGACACCTCTGTGGCAATCAGAGGCTTTCCAGCCTGCAGGGGATGAGCTGGGGGTGCTGGAGGCTGCTGGGGGTGTCTGAGCACAAGCTTTGTCCATCCCCAGGACCCTGGGTGGCAGCTCTGCCGTGCCCTCCCCGTGCTCCGAGCCCGCCGCCGCACACGACTTGTCCCCAGCTGCTGTCACCTGTCCCAGCTTCTACCCCGAGACCTGGATTGGAATGGATCCAGCTCAGGACTTCATCCAAGTGCCTGTTCTGAAGGAAGACAAGAGCTATAGAACCATTTACAACCTGTTCCACAAGACTGTGCCAGAGACCAAATACAAGATTTTGAAAATCCTGCGAGTGCAGAACCAGTTCCTTTGGGAGAAGTATAAAAGGTAAGAGAGTTGCAGTTCGTTAATAATGGATATTCCTAGAGGAGGAGTTTTATAAAGAGAGATTTGTATCTCCTCTCACAGCTGAGCTCTTCCAGAGGGCGACACCGTGATGAAAACAGCTTTTCCCTGGCTGACCTGCAGCCAACGCTCACCTTCCCTCCCCATTTTCCCCCGCAGGAAAAAGGAATACATGTCCAAGAAGATGTGTGGGCTGGACAGGATCCTGAACGAGCGGCACCTGTTCCACGGCACGTCGCAGGACGTGGTGGACGGGATCTGCAAGCACAACTTCGACCCGCGGGTGTGCGGCAAGCACGCCACCATGTTCGGCCAGGGCAGCTACTTCGCCAGGAAGGCCAGCTACTCCCACAACTTCTCCAAGCGTTCCCCCAAGGGCGTGCACTTCATGTTCCTGGCCAAGGTGCTGACGGGAAGGTACACGGTGGGCAACCACACCATGAGGAGGCCGCCGCCCGTGGAGCCCGGCAGCGTCACCAGCGACCTCTACGACTCCTGCGTGGACAATTACTTCGAGCCCCAGATCTTCGTCATCTTCAACGATGACCAGAGCTACCCCTACTTCATCATCCAGTACGAAGAGGTCAGCAGCACCGTGTCCATCTGACAGCCCGTGCTGCTCCCTGCCGCAGACTCCCCGCTGCGGGGGTAAAATCTGGACATTTCCTAACTGGTGGGATGACTTGGAAGGAAGGTCGCTGAAGTGACCAACTGTGCACTTGCTGGTCGGTTCCCCGTGTGGAAATTGTACATATTTTTGCCATTGTTTATAGTTGGAAATCTGTGCCTTTTGTTATAAAACACTGTTTATTTATGTTAGTAAATATTCATGTTTCAGAATGTGTCTGTGGGTGTCATTTCAGTGGCGTTCTGTGCCTGTCACACCCTGATCCCTCAACATTTCAGCATGGCCACTCCTAGGGACTCAGAACCACATTTCATCCCAAGGATATTGAATAAGACATGCCCCCAACCACTTTTTATTATCACATTTCAGAGAGACAGGGCGAGATCACAAAACTACCCCCTGTTTGTACTTTGCATTATTGAACAGGACAACACAAATAGATCATTTTCTAAAATCAAGGAAAAGCAGGAAGAAATTAGCATGGTCTGTGGGGAGGGTTTAAAAGCTGGGATTGCTTCCCAGCAGGAGCAGGGACACAGAGTCTGTCACTTGTTGGTGTCCCTGCCTGTGCAGGGTGGGCTCTGAGGTCGCTCCCCTCCCAAACCACTGACTCTGTAACTGGTTGGGATGTACCTGAGGTGCCCTGTCCTCGTTGGGACCTTCAGCAGGAATTGTGTGTCCCTCTGGAGGCTCCTGCAGCAGCACAGCTGTGCCTGGGAGCCCTCGGGAGCTCCTGTGGGGCTCAGGTGGCTCCCTGGGGTGGGGAGGGACCCTCAGGCTCTGTCCTGGGGCTGTCCCCGAACTCAGCTGTGCCTTGTGACATCCTGCTGCGGTCAGCTTCTGGGCAAACCTGTTTTGTCCTGGGAGAGAACTCCCTGCTCCCACCAGCACCCCCCTGCTGGTTCCTGCCCTGGATCCCTGCTGCTGGCTGAGATCAGCCCAGCTGCAGGTGAGCACGGGGGCAGCACAGCTGATCCCGGTCAGCCTGGGGTGGGAGCTCGGCCGGTCGGAGCAGCTCCACGCTGCCCATCCCAGCTGGGAGCTCCCACCCCATGGGATGGCTGATAAAGGTACCAGGTCCAGCTCCCACCCCACGGGATGGCTGATAAAGGTACCAGGTCCAGCTCCCATCCCAGGGGATGGCTGAGGGAGTTTCCAGGTCAGGCTTACATCCCAGGAAATGGCTGAGGGAGGTTTTGGGTCGAGCTCCCACCCCATGGGATGGCTGATAAAGGTACCAGGTCCAGCTCCCATCCCAGGGGATGGCTGAGGGAGTTTCCAGGTCCAGCTCACACCCCACGGGATGGCTGAGGAAGGTACCCAGCTCAGGGGTCTGGGGCTCCTCAGCAGAGCTGAAGCCACCAAGGGGCTGGGGGTGTCCAGGGTCTGCACTGGGGGGTCTGCGCAGCTCGGGGGGGTCAGCACGGGCGCTGTGGTGGCTCTGGGATGGAGATTTTGGGTTGACTTCAGAGCCAAACCTTGGAGCGAGGGTTGCTGTTCCTGGGGGGCTGCACTGAGTTGTTGCTGGAGGCTCTGCCCAGGCTGGGACTGGCACGACCAGAGCAGTGGAGGTGGCACCGCTGCTCCCTCTGCCTCGCTTCCCACAGGCAGGAAGGTAGCTCTGTTTTTCCCTTGGATGTCGTAATGGGGTTTTTGCTTTTCTGGGTCCTTCTCCGCAGCCCCGTGACGGGGGACACTCCCTGGGAGGGCTCTGCCCGAACCTCCCCCTTCCCACCTTCCCTGGAGCTGTGGGATGGGGAGGGAGGCGCGGCTGACACCGCGCTGAAAATATTTGTGGTGTTTCCTTGCCGACTGCTGAGTGTCTGAGCCACCCTCGGGCGGCTGCGCCTCGGTGACACGGCCCATGTCCCCTCCTGGGCCACCCGTGTCCCCTCCTGGGCCACCCAAGCCTGGCCCCGTGGCTCAGATGGTCCTGGGACTGGGCACGGCAGGGCTGCAGCTTGTCCTGTGTCCCCATGTCCCCATGTCCATGTCCCCATGTCCCTGTCACTTGTCCCCGTGTCCTTGTGTCCTCATCCCTGTGTCCCTTGTCCCCATCCTCATGTCCATGTCCCTGTGTCCATGTCCCTTGTCCCCATGTCCATGTCCCCATCCCTGTGTCCATGTCCCCATCCCTGTGTCCATGTCCCCATCCCCATGTCCCTGTGTCCCCGTGTCCATGTCCCTGTGTCCCCATGTCTGTGTCCCTGTCCCCGTGTCCATGTCCCCATCCTCATGTCCATGTCCCTGTGTCCATGTCCCTTGTCCCCATGTCCCTTGTCCCCATGTCCATGTCCCCATGTCCATGTCCCCATCCCTGTGTCCCTTGTCCCCATCCCCGCCCGAGCCAGCTGAGTGCTGGTGACCCCCATCATCCATGGGGGATTTGTGGGATCGTTCCCAGCTCCCTGGGCAGGGGCACTGGAGCAGTGTGGGGCAGACCGTGCCCCTAATTAGGTGAGTTGTTAATTGCCCCTAATGACGTGAGTTGTTAATTGCCTCCCGCGTGCCCCAGGGACCCCTGAGAAATCGCCTGTTCCCAAATCCCGCTCAGGACACTGGCACAGAAGGGGAACCCCAGCTCTGAGGGGCTGTTCCTGCCCTGGCTCTGTTTGTGCCCGTTCAGTGACACAAGGACCGTGACACCCGCGTGGGGACGGTGCCATCGTGCCCAGCTCCAGCCTTGTGTCCCTCCTGCCCCGTCCCTGTGCCCACAGCCAGCCCTGGCACCGGCCAGCCCTGCCGGGAGCGATCCTCCTGGCGCTCTTGCCCTGCTCTCCGTGGTGACAGGAGGGTTTGTGATGAGGATCTCGCTGTGCCACTGCCCTGCCGGGGTGACACACCTTTGGGCAAGGCCGGGGTTGGCAAAGGCCCGTCGGGGACCTGGTGGCCCTGTGGGGTGCCACAGTGGTGGCCTGGCCGAGAGGGACCTGCTGGGCTGGCTGGCCACGAGTGGTGCTCCTGTTCCCGTGGCAGCCCGGGGGGCGTGGGGTACCCCGGGGGGCTGTGGGGACACCCCAGGCGCCCAGAGGGCTCCGGTGACTGCCCGGGGACCCCGTGCTTGGGCACTGCCAGGCCAGGGCAGTCGGGAGGCAGCAGCCAGGGCAGGGATGGGTGACAGCGAAGGGTGAGGTCACCCTGCCGTGGTCACTGCCGTGCCTGGGCTTTGTCAGGGGACAGCCTGTTCTGGACAGAGGGCTAAAGGTGCCCCAGAGGCCGGCAGGAAGGAACAGCCTGAGCAGGAGCTGATTTGGGAGCTGGGCAGAAGGGCAGGAGCTGTTCCTAGAGGAGACTCTCGAGTGGCAGCAGCCCGAAGGTGCTGGGAACAGCCAGAGCCTCCCCACTTCCCACAGGGCACAAACGCTGCCCCCCTGGCCAGGGGCACCCACGGGCCCCTGCCTGCGGTTTGTTCTGGTGACTCTGGGGCTCTGCAGCTCTGGGATTTGCTCAGAGAATGACCCTGGAGTGGGAAATGCTCCTGCCCCTCCTTCCAGCGCTGAGGGCAGCCGGGCAGAGCCTGCCTGGGGAAGTGGCTCCAGGGAAGGTGCAGGCAGGGGGTGCTGGTGGTGGGAAGGTTCCCTGGGAGGTGTCCTGTGAGTGGGAAGGAGCCTGGGGAGGTGCCCAAACCAATGTTTGGACACAGGGTCAGCTCTGAGGTCACACCAGGTCCTGCAGGAAACTGCAGGGCTGGACCTGCCCGGCTCCTGCAGCACCTCCAAGCCCAGCAACGTCCCTGTGAGGGCAAAACCCCCCGAAATGCAGGATTGTGGTGGCCCAGCATGACACCCCAGCTCCTGGGCTGCAGCCTGGGTTTGTGAGCTCCAGCCTTGGGCAGGGGCCGTAGGAGAGGGCTGGAGATGAGCGGGACCGTAAACGGATGCAGTGAGAGGGTTTTGGGAGCAGGATGCCAGGGCTGGGTGGCTCTCCCAGGACTTCCATAGAATTTCTGTGGCTCTCCCATAGCTCACCAGAGTTTTGCCTGGGAAGAAAATCCCTTTGCTTTCAGTTCTGCTGGGAGAAGCAGAGTGAGACGAGGCCAGGGTGCCCTCGGTGTCACAGCAGGGTGGGCACAGACTGGGCCTGGGTTCCTTCTGCTGGAGGGGAATTTGGTCCCTCATGAGGGGCTGAGTCACGGGTGGCACAGAGCACACCACACCAGAGCCTCGTGATCCCAGCACCAAACCCCTGCCTGGCCTTATTTGTAGTTTTTAATGTGGAAATCTCACAGGAGGGAGAACTGGGGCATGGACACGGGGAGCATCTCTGGCTGCCCCTGGGGTTTCTCCATCCCCACCGTGTCATCCCCATCCAACCATTGCAGCACATCCTCTGCATTAATATTTATTTTTCTCTTATGGCTACAAAGTCTGTTTTTATGAGAATAATTTCCCACAGACCCAACAACAAATGTCAGGTTGACCTAAGGGTTGTTGTTGCCTCAATTTTCTTCGGGCTCCCTCTCGTCCAACCAGCCGGGTACAAGTTGTCTCATGCGTAATTAGCCCGTGATAAATCAGCTCCTGCCTTCTCCCCGTGCACGAGGAGCACATTCCCATGTGCTGATCCACGCTGGGGTTTGTTTGTCTGTGCACTCTGTGCACTCCCTGTACCTCTGCAGCCCAGCAGGGCCAGCCTCGCCCCGCAGCTGCAGGGGACAGGATCCACACCACGGGCCCTGCCAGGACACGGGTTCAGCTTGGTGGGGGTGATCCAGAGAAGCTGTGCCTGCCCCTGGATCCCTGGAAGTGTCCAGGGCCGGGCTGGATGGGGCTTGGAGCAGCCTGGGATAGGGGAAGGTGTCCCCAGTGGAAGGGATGGGATTTAAGGTCCCTCCCAACCCAAACCGTTCTGTGGTTCTGGGACCGTGGTGTCCATGCAGACAGAGGGAGGATCTGCTGCCCAGCTCCTGGCCCAGCTCCTGGCCCAGCTCCTGGCCCAGCTCCTGGCCCAGCTCCTGGCCCAGCCTGGAGTGATCCTCTCTGTCAGTCCATCCCCAAAGCTGGGGCAGCTCCTGGCCATTCCCACCTCAGCCTGGCCTGTTGGTGCTGCTGCCCCCGGGCCGGGTGCTCATGGGGAGCCATCCCAAACACCCTCAGCTGGGTCAGGGGAAGGACAGGACAGGGAAGTGCTGCAGTAAATACCACTATGGAATGAAATTGCTGTTTGTTTCCCATGAACTCGGTGTTTGCACAGTCAGACCAAAGGGCTCTGC